TATGAATAATTCATGAGATTTTACCAAACTATCCTATGATACAACATTTTGCACGATAGTTTTTAGTGCAAAATGGGGTTTAACTGACATTGACATCAACGCTGACTTCAATGTACAGTAAATGGAAATAAATCCGGTATCACTCCAGAATTAACGCGTGTTTATCCTCATCTTGGCAGTGTAAAAAGTCATTTATAATAATTTCATAGAATGGTAGTGTTATATTTTAAAGGAAAACTACAGTTACTGATAAACATTATTTTGGATTTGGATATTGTTTAAAAGTTACTATAAAATTGTATTTGTAATTCATAAAAATATTTATTTAAGTTTGAATGTTGGTGCAGTAGCCATTAGGTGTACACCTATTTTGCGAAAGAAGTTTAAGCTGTTTCTGTGTCTTTCGGTCAGCTGGTGTGTACTAACATTCTTTGCATTGTGTTGTATTGCTTCGTAATGCGTATTTTGCCTGAAAATGATTCCAGTCCGATTTTAAAGTGGTTCTGGAGCCTTTTAACTTCAGCAGACAATGTTGACGACGCTCTCTTCTACTTTTATATAAATTAATCTCTTTAAGTTTGCGACAGTCACGCACAAATCAGAAACATTAAAGTATCTTCTGCCTTTCCATAATGGATGAATGACGATTACATTTAAACATTGTCAAAAATTACATAGTATTGCCAAACGATATAGAAATTTTAATGGCAACGAAACAAAGAAGGTTTATGAATAATGGTCCTTGAAAATAAATTTCTTGATCAGTAAGTCCAAAGAATATTAAAATAATAGTGAACAACCATGGAACATTTTTAAAAAGGTTTAACCATATAAGAATAATATTCATGCTAAGTTTAATAGCATTTGGAATGAAAGGTAATAAAATAATATATAAACAGTTGATTATGCTTAATACCATCAAGAGAATATATTGTATTAAAAACATAATAGTATATTGTTTAAGGGTTATATATTTATACTCAATAAAAGTATGTGCAAAACAAAAGTATAAACAAATACCTAGTACATACGATTACATATATGTATAACAAAGTGAAAATTCTGACGTGAAGTATAAAAACCATAATTACAATGTACATAGGCCCCTATATTATTTATAATAACCACCCACCCACTACCCGCTTTCCACTTACTAATTTAACTGCTACACACCTGACCCCGACATACGTTCGAAGAAAATCTCAGAAGGATTTTGCAGGAGACCGTATAGATACAGATACAGATATATAATATTATATTATGATTTATATGCACACAAAATATCTATAGTTTATTATAGTTATATATCTAAAACTGATCTAAAAATACAGCTAAAATTATACCTAAATATAGCTCGAGGAAAGGCTATACTATAAACCCAGGGAATATGAATATGAGATGATCATAGAAATTAGAAAGCTTGAAAGAGAAATTTAGTATGATAGCATGAAATGATATGCATTTAAGGAAAACCGTAAGGTCAGGGTCCATACACCGTGCAAGTCTAAGATAATATTTTGGATCCATGTGAATGGTATTTTCAAAATGTATAGATATTGATTGAGATTTCTATTTGATACAAAAGTTACAAACGTTGGTGATGACAGTATCTGGATTGCAGACTTAAAATCATAATCTAATACAGTTATGGAAAACTGTAACAATTTCATTTGTGAGATCATAATGCACTGGTATGTTGATATTTGTGGTAAGTTAAAGCATAAAGATAACTATAGAAACCGTAATTACAGAGAGTGGAGACTAAACGTTATGAATGTTTGTCTGATATGGTGAATAACAACGTTTTACGACATATAATTAATCAAAAACTAAGATTGAAATTGCAAATATTTACTCATTTTTTAAAAATAATTTTGGTATATAATCAACTTACAATCGACAACGAATGACTGAATAAAAAATAAAAACATAATATATATTCCGAAATAAAGAGGCATTGATATTGATTGCTATATACATTGAAATTACCAAAGATCTAAACAATCGCACTTAAAAGTTGAAGTGTTATTATTTGCAAAATATGTATTCAAAATATTCAAAATAAAATAAGTTAGTTATTATTAATTTATGTACACAATTCATCAAAATTACTATATAAAAATATATGCGATCCTTAACTAATTTTACAACTATATAAAATACCTTAGTTTAATTAAAGGTATTTGTGAAAATTGTGATAAGCTGTTGAACCTAATTCCACAAGACAGTCTCCAATATTGAAACTACTAGAAGATCCAATGAAAGCCACCTCATTTTTACATAATTTACGTTATAATTATTGCGTATAACTCGTTATGTCCAAAATAAGTGGAATGTCAGATATCAGGTTTTGTAGAAATTAATTGGAATTCAGTTTATAGATGAACTCTGGATAACACATCCCACTACTCTACATCATTACCCATAATCAATAAAATAACAAGTAAAATGTTCGATAAATATTGTAACGCGATGAAATTTAATGTATTCTATACCCTCTCAGTGTTAGACATTACTCAATATTTTTATTATAAGTTTGAAATTTTTATATCTTATATTTAATTTTTTTTCACCATGTTTTCATATGTATGCCACCCAAGTTCACCATAAGTAGCTTACTTTGCAACATACTTGTGTGTCTTTTATAGGTGTCTGGCCAATTAATTTTACTGTATATTTCATTTCATTCAATTCATTTTTTCATTTATTTCTTCCAAAAAACATTAAAATTGACAAACACAATGTAACAGAGAGCAAAAAACAACACTCGGTTGGCCGGACAGGATTGCCAAAATATGAACTGAATGAATGAATGAAAAAATGAATGAACTACCCCCCGTAGTGGCTCTCCGATACCAATGAGAACATAAATTAAAATAGCATAAAATATTCAAGTAAAGTAGGCCAATCAATAAAATTTAAATTTGTTTTCAATTAGAGCTTACTATCGCAAAACCATTACAAAAAGCAAAATTTATACTTGGAATGCCAATGGACTTCCATAGTAGGGTATAAGGCAATCTAACAGTTGAAGACAAATAAATTGCTAACAAAGGATTTTTTTAAAAATTAAATACATTATAATGAGGTGAAGAAATTCCACATATCACACCTCTGGAGCATATGCAAATTATCTAAAATATCGAAATTAGAGTTCTCATATGGTGGTAACAGCTGATCACAGGGAGTTAGTTTTTTTTTTTTTTTTATAAATTATTGAGAACATTCATATTTCTATTGGGTCTAATACAACATGTACCCAAAAAATCAACTGAAATGCTATAAATGCTCTCTGATCTTATATTCACTGAATTTGCACATCTCTGTAACTATGTACAAAGAAACTTAGTTTAGGTCTAAAATTATTCAAAAGCATGCAAATCTATAATCACATTTAGGTATAAGTTTCTATTCACTGTACAGTATACATAATGGGATAAAATTCTAGAAATCACACCTTGCCTCCTTGTATTCTTTATTTACAGTTTTTATTTACATTCTTTCAAACAGTAAATCATGATTTCCATCATCGAAGTTCGATACTAGTGCCTATTTGTTGTGTAAACAATATGCAAAATAATACAAACTACATGAAAGAAGCAGTACAACCAAGGATAAACAAAGCAACCTGAATTGAACTAAAGCTTTGTCGACACTATCAAATTTTATGTGACAAACAATGTGATGTGCCCATACATGGGCACGATGACGTCATATATATTTATAAATTGCATAAAAATGTTGAACTTGTTCAACACCTTTTTATGTCGTCTGTCAAAAAGTTGTCATTTATTTTTTTTTTAGAACACAACATTTGACTAACAAATCACAACACCCAATCAGATCTTATAATTCAGTTATATTAAAATACATCACATTTTTGGAGGCAGTTGGATGTATTTTGATATTGTTCCATCACATTTTATGTGACTTTTTTTATTATTTAGTTTGCAGAGCTTAAGGAATAAAATGTAATTACATTATATTAAGAATGAGTATTCATTTAAATGTATACAGTACTTACTGTACGTTGATATTGTTCCATCACATTTTATGTGACTTTTTTATTATTTAATTTGCAGAGCTTAAGGAATAAAATGTAATTACATTATATTAAGAATTAGTATTCATTTAAATGTATACAGTACTTACTGTACGTTATAGACACTCCCATAATAAAAAAGCAGATACATAAATATTTACATGCATGGTTGAAATGTAAATAATCACTAAAACACAGTCGTTTAATTACATGTACAGGTAATACCATAAAAAAAACCCTTACAGCAATACAGAAAATGGCACACGTACAAATGCTGAAACACTAGAGTAAACCAGGATTTACCCAGAACACAGTGTATAAATAATTAAACATTATTACATAAACCCATTAATAATAATAATAAAAAAAAAGACTAGTACTAAATTAACTGAAATAATACAGAACGAAAATTAAATCGCGTAATAAATAAACAAAAAATAAATAATTAAAACGCAATCACAAAACACATTACTGTGTCTCTCTCCACCTAGGAGTAGAAGTTAGTACCTGGTAGGTTCAAACACAAAAATCTCCCCAGTGAGCTGAGTATGTGTTCTACATGTGATTGAATCAATGACCTGGAAAATAATGTAAAGCGTTTTTTTTATTTATTTATTTTTTAATTTTTTTTTATGGTATTACCTGTAGGCCTACATGTAATTAAACGACTGTGTTTTAGTGATTTTTTACATTTCAACCATGTAAATATTGCTGGCATGACGCGCTATATAATTCTAACATCTTATTATTACATTTATTATTATTATTTATTATTATTATTATTATTATTATTATCATTATATTAATACTATTATAATTACTATTATTACTATTATTATTATTAATCTTTTTATTACTACTAATATTAATATTATAATTATTATCATAACCATTATTATTATATTTATAATTGTAATTATAATTATTATTATAATTATTATTGCTTAACGCACTGACTTTACATTTAGTCCTACTCTCTTTTCAAACATGTTCTGTTAAAAGACGACCTTGAACGTACGATATGAAGGTAAAGATTGTAGTAATGACAATGACGAATATGAAGGCGGTAATGATGATGTTAATGATGATAAACCACCAAAACACTCTACGATTGACGACAGAATGTTTTAGATAATCCATCCCGATAATCATTAAATTTGTAGGCGTAAACAAACGGGTTTGCTGCAGTGCCTATTACCCCTAAAATTGTGAAAATGTAAGAAAAGATGGAAGGCATAAAATCAAAGCAGTCGCAAATTGTATAAACCAGAAACATAATAATCACCGGAGAATTACAAAAAATATATATCAGTGTGTTGATTAACATAGTATCGATGAAATTTCTTTGATTTTTATCTATCTGACAGAATTGTAATGGCAGTTTGTTGATCTCAAAATCCTGTACGTTGTTGTCATTACAACGTGTAGTGGTAGTGGTAGTGTATTTTTGTAAGTTGTTTGTTAATTCTGCTCGAATTTTAGATTGTGTTCGCAGTGTGACGTAAACGCGACAGTAACAAAATGTCATAACGCAAATGGGGCATACCAAATTTAACAGAAAAATACTGATACCTGACAATATCTTAAAGCTTCTGTGTTTATAACTAATGGAACACAAATAACTGTCACTGCCTTCATATATAAAGACAAATTGAAATGTTATTATAAAAGCAGCTACGAATGGAAGACACAACTGCGGTGACATGCTTCTTTTGTTGTTACCTCTTATCCAGTATTTCAACGGTTGCACAACTGCGATGTACCTCTCCACAGCAATTAAAAGAAGATTTAGCGTCGAAGCAGATAGAACGAACTGAAACAGTGGCATGATTAATTTACAGTATATGTCATTGTTTTTCCAAGCTGCAACTGGATACACACAAAATAAAATGAAATAGAAACAATTTGCTATCATATCGATCATGGATTGTTGAAACACCAATAGATATGTGAAGGAACTACGATAAATTTTACAGTTTATAAACACAATTATCACCGTCAAATTTGCACAAATGCCAATGGCTGACACACAGACATTTATACACAGAACAATAATAAGTGTAACAGCAATTTCTTCACTAGCTTCAGAAGTTGAGACGTTGAAGTTGTTGGCTGTCATTTTCTGTATCAAAAGTAATTTTTATGCAGTGTGATTAGTGTCTGAATTTAACTTAATTTAAAACAATATAAATATATTTATAATGTTTAAATATTAATGAACTTAATTATTGTATGTCAAAATGTTTCAAAATAGGCCTATTCGATTTTCAGATCTTCGGTTTTCGTTTTATAGACACCCATCATGTCTATGAAAGAAGATCCCTGATAATTTCATAACAAAACATTCAGCCAAATAATCTCGTAATTTGTATTTTATTTATCAAAATAAACAATAAAATAATGGCTTTTGTTTTCAAGTATTTGTTTTATTATTTTTGGATCATTATTGATTATTCTCTAACTAATGTCTACAGTTTTAGCCTTACCTCACATATTAAGTGATAGTTTCTTATTTGGCTCCCTTCTAAGCGTTGCCGTCTCCGGATATCAATATTATCGAATTTCTTCTACCCTCAATCTCGTAATAATGACGACAGAATTGTTATGGAAGTTCTAAATTGCGCTCTGGTTGTTAATATTACGTTTATGTTTTCGGTTTCACTTGTTTTGCTTTTAGAAACTAAAACAAAGCCACATCATTTCTATACACACCTACGTATGAAAGGGGTCAAAGTGATACTTTCATTTTAAAACTATAGGATAATCATCTGTAAAATCGATCATGCACATATAAGCTCAAAATTTTAAATTTAAGGTTATAAAATGCAAATAAACAAAACCAAACCAAACTGAAAATAATTCTCATTAAATTTAAACTTTATTGCAATTTTCAAATTGGGAAATGAAGCTGAAAATATAACGATTGACATGTAAAGAATTAGGCCTATCTAACAATTTTACTAGGAAGTAAACAGTAAACAGAAAACATGCATACATTACAAACATATAAAAACCGAAAGGTCCACTGATTAATCTCAGATAACAAAGATAACATCTTACAAACATATACACATATAAAAGCACAATAAAAGTTAAAAAAGATAAGATTGCACAAAATATGTGTTAAATAACAAATACAACAAGATCTGAGATTACAATCCTCGCCCTGCTGTGTTACCGTATATATAATGTACTGAAAAAAATAATGGCCCATGGTCGATCCATTCGAGTCAGCTCGGCCTAGCCAAATTGAAACTAGGCCTGGCATCACAAACCTCGCGTGGCAGCCTAATGGGACACATATTTGGAACATTTTCTTCCTGTGTAAACAGTTAAATATGTCTATTCATTACAAAAATAAAGTAACTAAAGTTTATACAATCCAGCATGTACCTATGTTCAACTACTTCAAAGCACAATTATCTAGCATAAAAAATCAGTAAAAATATATAAAAAGCCGCTAATTTACGTTGAAAATATCACAAATCACTTTATGGGAATGTTAAATGAAACTAAACTTACATTCCTTTTCCTTTTCTAGTAATTAGGCTAACAATAATAAGTCGGGAATAGGTTGGTGAACAATATGGCCGGAGATTGGTGTTCATATTGCGTCCGCAAAAGCAGTATAAGAACAATTATATTGACATGGCACTTCGTTGGTGGATTGGATTGGATTTATTCGGTGTAAACACCAAGGTAGCCCACGAAAGTCTAGAAAGAGACTTATTTCCAGTGGGGTCCTTCTGGACGTGGTGATTGGGCAGTACACCGAGGGACAATCCCCTACTCTTTTCCGAAGAGTGTACTGCGTTCTTTAACGTGCACATGGGCCATAATGCACACGGGACCAACGGCTTAAACGTCTCATCCGAAAGACGGTGCGCTATTGTAACTTGTATTTCAGCCCTCTAGCTGAAACACAAGGAGAGGCAGCGATGGAAATTAAACCGGGGACCTAGAGATCCCCACGGTTCAGCGCACACACAACGGCTACCACCAGATTAGCCGACTAAGCTAAGCTGCCTGACGAAGCTGCCTGGGCCCTGGAGTTATTCGAAGCATTGGATTCTCCCGTTTAGTGAAAAGTTGTTTCCTTGAATTTACGTTGTCTCTTCGTTGGTATACTGTATTCAGCAGGTTTAATGTATGAATGTTATTTCATTGACGATTTCAATATATTTTATTGTATTTGTTTCTGACTGTATTTTATTAGAAAAGTTTAGCATTTTAATGTTTTATATACGTTTGTTTTGTAATTGTATGGTTTAGTTTTATCAGGGGACAGTGAAATTTCACTATTTCCTGGTTTTATTAATAGGTCTACCTGGAAATTGAATAAAATAAATAAAAATAAAATCCATAGCATAGCTGTTGAGATATTGTTTTTGGAGGCGTCAGTGTGGAATTGTTTCTTCACGATTCTTTATTATATAGTACTTACTAGTGTAGTAAAAGCATTATATCAATTCAAGGGTTTTGTATTGAGTCTGTCGTTAGATGAGTGTTTCGTAGGCGGGAAGTTTGCTTGGTCCGACCAATCAAAAAGAAAGGTCATTGCTTAATACGTTATTGAGATCTGTATCGCTGAGCTTAATCGATTCTCGGTGCTCTAAACCCATGGCCGTTTTTAAAATCTGTCTGTACAATCTCGGGCTTGTCAGTCAGACCGTTTGCTAAGCAGTAGGCAGTGAACATGCATTAAATTTGTACGTCTTCCAGGAGGGGGCGGCAGAAGTAGACAAGGATTCGGTGGTGTTCATGTTGCAATTTTGAATGGTTTACACCGCTTCTACCATGTTATTTTATGCCTATATTTCCAATAACAAATGTACACATACACAACACGACTTCAATTCGCCATGACTTTAATCCTCCTTGCCAGTGTGACCACTCAAAATTTTTGATATAACCAGGTCTAGTGGGTCGAAATTACCCAAGATTCAGCAAAAATTGCCCAAAATTACCCAAGCTT